AACAGAGCTAAAAACAGTTCCTAGTTGTGTCTTTCAAGATAGCAGCAGCCTGCATGTTTGAGCTACTATGGCGAGTTCCTGGCATGCGCAGTTGACCTGCAGTATGGCGGGAATGAGGCCTCTGCAGGTGGCACATTAAGCTGCATGGTGAATTTAGCCTCTGCTACTACAAAACAAAAAGAGGTTTCTGGGCTACACGCTGCCTTGATAGAAGCATAGACCCACTTTTTCTGAGAGTTGATGGCTCCCAGAGCTTATGGAAAACATACCACAGCCATATTGGGAAGCTGAAGTGGGTGGAGCCAGCAGCCACAGCACCAGCACCGTTTCAGTCTTAGAATGCTGCAGTTTAAAGCAATAGACTAAAGGTAATTATAGAAAATAAGCCACATAAAGATGGCTACCACACAGAGAATCTGGATTATGTTCTCTTTGATATTTGTAACTGAAGAAAAAAATTTGATTGCAAAGCTTTTGAGTTATGCCAAAATGTATATTTTAAAGGTACCTTGACTTCAAAATTTGGATGTAAGGATATGTTTTGGAAAAGAGGCTCTGCTTTTGTTTTCACAGAAAGCCAGAGACTATGGATTTGTTCCAGATTAAGATACATCAGGTTTGACCCCAAGACCCCCTGAAAGGTCTCCGATGACACTATGGCCCAGATGATCCAACATCCAAAGTGATTTGAAGACAACTGACTCAGACAATACAGCCTCATGGACTACTCCATAATCTTAAAATTTTCTTTGTGTCCCCTTAAGATACAGCCCCCCCCCAGCAGGAAGTAGTAAGGGAAGCTATGCCCAAATTCCAAAATATACCAAGCAGGCTTTGGAGATGTGTAAAAGTTAAAACCTTCCTCTTTAAAAAAAATTCCAATTAGCGAGAATGAGGAGGGTTTATATGAGTGAGAATTGTTGAGACCAAGGTTGGATAAAGGACAGACAAATAGCCAAACAAATGGAAACACATGAACTATGAACCGATGGCTCAGGGGTCACCAACTGGATCAGGCCCTCTGAATGGGTGAGACAATTGATTGACTTGATCTGTTTGGGAGGCATCCAGGCAGTGGGACCGGGTCCTGTGCTCATTGCATAAGTTGGCTGTTTGAAACCTGGGGCCTTTGCAGGATCGCTTGGCTTGGCCTGGGAGAAGGGGACTGGACCTACCTGGACTGAGTCTACCAGGTTGATCTTAGTCCTCGAGGGAGGCTTTGCCCTGGAGGAGGTGGGAATGAGAGGTGGTCTGGGGGGAAGATGAGGGGGACGGGAGTGGGGAGAACAAGGGAATCCATGGCTGATATGTAGAACTGAATTATATTGCAAAATAAAAATTAAAATTAAAAAAAATTATAAAGAAAAAAAAGAAAGAAAAGGGGAAGTGCTGTGGGATGGTCTGTATGTCAAAGTACTCTGATTGGTCAATAAATAAAACACTGATTGGCCAGTGGCTAGGCAGGAAGTATAGGCGGGACTAACAGAAAGGAGAAAAGAAAGAACAGGAAGGCAGAAGGAGTCAATGCCAGCCACCACCATCACACCAAGGTTGGATAAAGGACAGACAAATAGCCAAACAAATGGAAACACATTAACTATGAACCGATGGCTCAGGGGTCACCAACTGGATCAGGCCCATTTGTTTGGCTATTTGTCCCTGTGCTTTATCCAACCTTGGTCTCAACAATTCTCGCATGTGAAGATGATGGTAAGCCACAAGCCACATGGCAAGGTATAGATTTGTGGAAATGGATTAATTTAAGCTGTAAGAACAGTTAGCAAGAAGCCTGCCATGGTCATATTGTTTGTAACCAATAAAAGTCTTTGTGTTTACTTGGTTGGGTCTGAGTGGCTGTGGGACTGGCAGGTGACAAAGATTTGTCCTGACTGTGGGCAAGGCAGCAAAATTCTAGCTACACCAATATGACATTGACTGATTACTAAAAATCAGCATGGTGTATTCTACAATATGAGACATGGAGAAAGATTAAGGAAATATTCAGTGAAGTTTTATGATATTAAGGATACCATATCCTTAATATCAAGTATAAATATTCATTCAACTTATACTCAACAACATTCTTTTAAATGATTAAAGAGTGACAATAATCTTCAATAAAAATAATTGTGGGTAAGGATATATGATATATTTCAGGATTAAGTTCTGTAAGAAAAGATCCTGCATGTCATAGTTATATTGGATCATACTGGGGCATTTGTATTATTTTCTCTATGAAATGAACAACTTGTGAAAGTTTAAAGGTTTGGATTTTTTCTGTGACATATAGATGGTTTTACTTTATATTATTAAACTCAAAACAGTTTATGAAATCAAATTCAGCTGCCACAGGGATCCAATATTTCAATTTACTTGGATAGAACACTCATTTTACCTCTTGCAAAGCATTTGTAGGAGTCCCTTTGTCAATTTTGGAGATGTGTTCAAAAATACTAGGCTATCTGGGGTCTAGCTTGAAATCACTTAACAGTATTTAAAGAATAAGTTACATCTTTCTTATTGTTGCTTATATGTATACCTCTCTACATAGTCAGTTTATAGAAACCATACAGCCACAGTTCTCAACCTGTAGATCATATTCATTTGGGAGGTCCAAAGACCCATTACCAAGGGTCATCACAGACCATTAGAAATATCAGATAATTACATGAAAATTCATAACAGGAACAAAATTATACTTATGAAATAGCAACAAAAGTACTTTTATAGTTTAAGGTGACAAAAAAATGAAGACCTGTATTAAAATGTCACAGTATTAGGAATGTTAAAAATGGCTGTGCTACACTGAGACTCATCAGTAGTCAATATACAAACAATGTCTTATCTTTGTTTTTGTCTGCGTGGTTGTATTCTTTATTCTTCTAAAAATTTAATAATTTATTATTTTACATCCTGATCACACTTTCCCCTCCCTTCTCTCCTCCAATTACCTTCCTAGTTTCCCTCCACACTGTATTCCACTCTCCCTCTGTCTCTGATAAGAAAGGTGCCAGCCTGATCCAGTTGGTGACCCCTCAGCCATTGCTTCAAAATTCATGTGTTTCCATTTGTTTGGCTATTTGTCCCTGTGCTTTATCCAACCTTGGTCTCAACAATTCTCACTCATATAAACCCTCCTCATTCTCACTAATTGGACTCCTAGAGATCCACTAGGGGCCTACCCATGGATCTCTGCATCCAGATACCTCAGTACTTGGATGGGGTTTCTAGCACGACAATTAGGGTGTTTGGCCATCCCATCACCAGAGTAGGTCAGTTCGGGCTGTATCTCGACCATTGCCAGCAGTCTGTTGTGGGGGTATCTTTGTGGATTTCTGTGGGCCTCTCTAGCACTTTGCTTCTTCCTATTCTCATGTGGTCTTCATTTACCATGGTCTCCTATTCCTTGTTCTCCCTCTCTGTTGTTGATCCAGCTGGGTTCTCCCACTCCCCAAGCTCTCTTTCCCTCAACCCTCACCCTTCATTACCCCCACTCATGTCCAGGTTGTTCATGTAGATCTCTTCCATTTCTCCATCATTGGGTGATCCTTCAGGCCCTCTGAATGGGTGAGACAGTTGATTGGCTTGATCTGTTTGGGAGGCATCCAGGCAGTGGGACCAGGTCCTGTGCTCATTACATGAGTTGACTGTTTGAAACCTGGGGCCTATGCAGGATTGCTTGGCTCGGCCTGGGAAGAGGGGACTGGACTTACCTGGACTGAGTCTACCAGATTGATCTCAGTCTGCAGGGGAGGATTTGCCCTGGAGGAGTTGGGAATGGGGAGTGGGCTGGGGGGAAGGTGAGGGGGGCCATAGGGGGGAGAACAAGGAAATCCATGGCTGATATGTAGAACTGAAATGTATTGCAAAATAAAAATACAAATTAAAAAAAATAAAATGGAAAAAAAGGTGCCAGCCACCAATGTATATCAGCAAAGCATGGCATATAAAGTTGCTATAAGACTAAGAACCTCCCCTTGTAGTTAACTGAGAAAGGCAATCCAGCAAGAGGAATAGGCTCTAAAGAGCAAACCAAAGAATTAGGGATAGATTCTGCCCCTATTCTAGGGCGTTCCAAAAAGAGACAAACTACAAATATATTACATATGTGTAGAGGGTGGATTTTGGTCCCATGAAGGTTCCCTGCTTGCTGGTTAAGACTTGTGTGTTTCTATGAGCAAGAATAGAGAGAAAAATAATTGTGGGAACCAGGGGGGATGAAGCACTATCTTATCTCAATGTGAAAATAGAGACATAATTTACTTAAAATAATCTTGTTATCTCCATCCTTTCGGACTTCATAATATTGCTACTTGCATATGCTTATTTCCACTGTTACAGTTTTCTATAGAACCTATTTTTAATGATATGTTTTTGTTAGCACTGTTATTTCTGGAATAGTTAATCTTCATTATGTCATCCTCACACAAAATGAAGATTCATCTCATCAAGGCAAATAAAAATAAACAAAAGGTATACTACATTTATTTGTACTTGTAAAAATGGAATAAATATGAAGTTAAAAACAATCTTTAATATACACTCTACAATAGCTAAAATACTGGGAACATAATAGTGATATAGAATATATAGAATATAATAATATCACACAAAAGACAATATCATCTTCAAGAAACCACAAAAAATATTATGTAGCTATTTGGACTTTCTATTGTTGTCAATAACTTATATTAGCAAAAATTCTTCTGTTTCACATCACTGTTGCTTTAGTATTTTCAAACAAGAACTCATTGTAATTAATGAGCTGATAGTTTAATAAAACAATATGCATAGCAAATTTTTCAATAAGCATTTAGTAATTTTAAGGTCTACTCCTGAATTAACACTTCCAAATTCATATCAACGCTAGGGCTTCCTAAAGTGATGTTTGTGATATTGAATAAGGGGTGAATATTGATCAAAGATTTTGTATATTCCACACATTTTGAAAGAAATTTCAAGCATAAATAAAATGATACTGAAATAAATTTAATAATTATTAGAGAATTTTTAAAGATTCTTATGATTTTTCTGATATCTTCTAAAGTGAGAGCTCATGAGAAGTATTTTTCCACATTCTTCATATTTGTAAATATTTTCTTTAGAATGCATTCAGGGAAGATGAAGTGTTGAGGATTTGGTTAAGAAATTTTCACCTTTACATTTATAAGGCTTGGCTCAGGTGTGAGTTCTCTGATGAACATTAACAGAAAGCAATGGGTAAAAGACAAAACATTTTTAATATTTCTATGGTTTGTCTTTAGTATGGATTCTCTGATGAACATGAAGAGATGAGCCATGCCTAAAGCATTTTCCACAGTCATAACATTTATAAGTTTTTTCTCCAGTATGGATTCTATGATGAACACGAAGAGATGAGACATCACTAAAACACTTTCCACAGCCATCACATTTATAGGGTTTCTCTCCAGTATGCATTCTCCTATGACACTGAAGATGGGAGGACTGGACAAAGGACTTTCCGCAGTCATCACATTTATAAGGTTTTTCTCCAGTATGGATTCTCCTATAACATTGGAGATTGGAGGACTGTACAAAGGACTTTCCACATTCATCACATTTGTAAGGTTTCTCTCCAGTATGGATTCTCCTATGACATTGAAGGTTGGAGGACTTAACAAAAGACTTTCCACAGTCTTCACATTTATAAGGTTTCTCTCCAGTATGGATTCTCCTATGACATTGAAGACTGGAGGACTTAACAAAGGACTTTCCACAGTCATCACATTTATAAGGTTTTTCTCCAGTATGGATTCTCTGATGAACATGAAGAGATGAGCCCTTAGTAAAGTGCTTTCCACACTCATCACATTTATGACGTTTCTTTCCTATATGGATTCTCTGGTGAACACGAAGGGATGAACTTTTCCTAAAGGATTTTCCACATTCTTCACATTTATAAGGGTTCTCTCTCATATGGATTCTGTGATGAATATGAAGGTATGAAAGTTTGCTATAGGACTTTCCACAATCATTATATCTGTTTGGCTTCTTTTCTGCAGTGTGACTTGAATCATTCTGAATGATATTTGAATTGAAATTAAATAATTTATCACATTCTTTAATCTGGCAAAGTTTTATTCCTATATGCTTTACATTATCCATCTTTAGATTTGAGGATTCAATTGTGACATTCGTACATGCATCACCTCTGAGTCTCTCACAAATTTCTTGAGTACTAGTTCCATTATACTGAATACAGTTTGAGAATTCATTAAAAATTTGGTCATGGTGTTTGCTTGTCCTATGCTTCTCTTGGCTATGTTCATGTTTGTGCAAAGTAGTGTTTGAGTAATTATCAAAAACTTTCTGATGTTCATGGTTTTCAAAATGATTAACTGTTGAGCTAGTATTTATGTGAGAATTACTAGGAATTACATCATTAGTAGAGTAAGTCCATGAGTCCTTGTCATTAAAAGGTATTTCAAAGTGACTATTCTGATAATTATTTACCAAAGAAAACTTAGCAAGGTCATTATCAACATCATTAAATATATTGGAATTTTCACAACTTCTTTCCTTATAATACATATTATGCCACATTTCATTCCTAAAATATTTATGTTAATCTAAATTGTGGAGGTTGTCATATAGTGGAAGTAATTATTCAGGAACCTCTACTGAATTTTGAGTAGAGGAAATACCATACTTCTGATGATTCAAATATTTTTCTGTGCTTAAAGCACTCCTTTCTTCAGGGACTATTGGAGTATCATTTAATTGCACAGCACTTGAAAAGTGTTGCAAATACTTTGAAATGTTACACTGTGTGTCCCCTTGTGAAGTTTTCATATATCCATGTAGAGTATAGCCAGGTGTCCATGCTTGGTGTGAATGTTTTTCCATATAATCAATTGGTTCTGAACTTGTAACTGACACACAGTATGATGTCTTTTGAGATAGTAGAGGTATCTGATGTTTTTCATAAGTAATGCCTTTGGTACCTTTTTCATAAAAATCACTCTCATTATAACATAATTCATATTGTCTGTTGTCATCATGATATTCCCAGTACTTCCTTGTATGTAGCATGTCAAGACCACTAGTTTCAAATATGCCTGCTCTTCCTCCTTGTAAAGAATCTTGTTTGTTCTTCCATTGGAAAACATCCTAGGTCAGGTAATATGACAAAGCTAGGAGAAAAGAAAACAAACTCTGTATTTTTTTAAAAAAAAAATTAAAACATTCTAAGAATATTATGCATAAAATGATAGCAGTCCAGGGAACATGTCAAGATTTTATAATAGGAAATTTTCAAAGTTTTGCTGTAGGAACTAAATGTGCTTATGAAAAATGAGTGTAACTCATAGAATGTTTATCCTTCATAATGTCTCATAATAGGCAAAATTACACAACAATTTTCAAAAACATTGAAGCACTCTCCCACTTGCCATGTGCATTGGGAACATGCCCATTGAATTCCCTGCTATAATTCTTTCTGCTTACACAATCATAGTCTAAGAAATCACAAGTTTTTTTGACACTACTTGTGAACAGCCTCTTCTTTCCTTTTTTTAAACAGGGTAACTGGTATTGCACCCCAACTGATGCCCTCCCACAAAGAGTTCAGGCCTTTCATCCCTTCTCTAGGAACACAATAGATACTGTACAATTATGTCTGCCATCCCCTTTGCATTATTACTATCTCCGATAAGAGTGAGTCACTAGGTCCATGCCAGCATATCCTCTCTTCCACACCAGCTGTACAAGTAATATATGATAACCTGACTCTGGATCACTTATTACACAGACAATAAAAATAGAAACTACAACCTGTGCTGCTAAATCTTACAAACACAATGAAAGATCCTGGCTTTCTTCTACCCCTAGCAAGGAAATAAAGAACAGTTCCTGGTTCTACTTTCTGAAAATCATCAACACTTTTGATGCCAGTCTGGTAACACACATTTTACACCTTATCTCAGAGTGGTGAATCAACAATATCCCCTTATTGACATTTCCTCACCAATCCCAGACTCTACCATGTATTCCACCCTATGTGCTCATATCTAGACTAATCTCTGTCCAGAATACTCTGATATTCACCCTTACAATGAGATGCATATGTTGTAATTCTACCCAGCCACTGTACCTGAGACACCCTGCCACACATGCTATATATAGTTTTCACATATAAGCTTCCCTGCATTCATTGTTGTCTGTTTAATCTGCTTTTTAAAATGACATAGAAATGACTAAATAGTTAACAAGCTCGATTTTGATGATGAGAATATGATCATTATGTATGCTACTTCAAACACCAATATTCCCTAAAGATCAGATACGTGACAAATTTGTTTTCAAGTAGCCCCATTAGTTGACTCAAAATAGGGGTTTAATGAATAAAATATAGATCTGTGTCAGGACCTCAAAGTGTAAGAACTACACACTATCTTTTAGTTCTGGTGCCTGCTTGAAATGTGATATTTGAATGTTATCTGTTCTTTCTGCTAAGTCTGCTGCCTCTTGACTTCATTCTGTGGCATAGTGGAGTCTTATTCTCATGGAACTGTAAGACCAATGAAACTCTTTGTTTTACGTATTTCCATGGTAATGGTGTTTCATCACAACAACAGAAAATCACACTTAGAATATAAAAAAATAAAGCCAGCACTTACCCCCCCCCAAAGCTTATCAGTCTCATAGAAGTATTTTTCAATTAATTATTGCCATGATACAGAAGATGGAAAACCTATCATAAACATTATTAAAATAGTCAAAGTGCTTAAATTAGACACAAAGAAACAGTCCAATACAATTAGTGAGGAGAGCTCTCTTTCTGCACTCTCTCCTTCCATATTCTCCCTGTCTCTATGTGGTCTCTCTGTCTCTTGTTCTCTCTCTCTTTCTCTCCCTCTCCCAATAAAGATCTAGAAAGGTTAAAAAAATTAGGAGAAACTTGCTGTAAGATGGTCTGTATGTCAAATGTGTTGCTGATTGGTCAATAAATAAATCACTGATTGGCCTGTGGCCAGGCAGGAAGTATAGGTGGGACTAACAGAGGAGAATAGAGCTGGGAAGTGCAAGGCTGAGTCAGAGAGACACTGCCAGCCGCCATGATGAGAAACAGCATGTAAAGATGCCGGTAAGCCTTGAGCCATGTGGCAAGGTATAGATGAATGGAAATGGATTAATTTAAGCTGTAAGAACAGTTAGCAAGAAGCCTGCCACGGCCATACAGTTTGTAACCAATATAAGTCTCTGTGTTTACTTGGTTGGGTCTGAGTGGCTGTGGGACTGGTGGGTGTCAGAGATTTGTCCTGACTGTGGGCCAGTCAGGAAAACTCAAGCTACAGAAACTTAAAAATCTGACTGATATAAGAGACCACAGAGACATAAATGAAGACAGTCTACTGTTAAAAAAAAACTCAAAAAAAGCTATAGAATTATTGATGAAAATTCAGTCTGAAGTGAAGTTATAACAGGAAACTAATTAGCAAAGTCAACATAAAACTTCATAAGTAAGACAGAAAAATAGCAAATACAGTATTATAATTCAGTAAAACAAGAATAGTAATTTAACTGCAGATCAGAAACACACATATATGTGTGTGCAAATATAATATTATATATATATATATACACAAAAATAATTACACAGGTAATGCTCTACATCATAAGAATGTGAAAAAATTTAAATAAATGTATATATGTAAAATAAGAATCTTACCTCAATGGCATAGATAAAATTTCCCCCAAGATCATGAAGGACAAATCTGCCAAACTCAAGAAAGTCATAATATTGCAGATACTGGAAACATTCACAAAACTAAATAGGCAAAAATATAAAAAGAAATACCACACAGCAAGCCCTAGTTAATATACAGAACAAAACAAGAGCACTAAAATATGAAGAAGGGAACTAAATATCTCCTGTAAAGAAAAGCCCATTAGAATAACAGTTGATTTCACAGGAGATGGTACTAACCAAAAGAGCCTAGAACAGTGCAATTCTAAAGAGAATAAGGGTCTATACTAACTACTGTACTAAGCAAAACTATCTGCTATAATCGAAGGAGAAAGGTTTTGTTATGAATTAGAATGTATGAAATGACTTATAACATGCAGGCCAATAGAAAACAAGTGATAGGAAATAGCATTTAAGATGGATGAATGGACACAGGTAACTCCAGCTAGAACAGCAGATATGCTAATTGTAGACCTTCACCTCAACTTTTTCTTCTCTTAATCCAATCCCACAGACCAATCTTCAGCTTTGATAAAATGGTCTGCTGCAGGTTCTCTGCTGCCTGTGACTTCTTCTCCATTGATTAGAATGCATCTTCCAATTTTATCATCATTCTCACAACCTTTCTTGATCTCAGCAATCAAATCTGGCAGGAAATCTATTGAAGCCCACAGGCCACTCCTGCCAGGGAAGCAGGTAGGTTGAATCCAGAACTTCACCTCTCATCTTGGCTCTTTAATTTCAATACACTAATTTGAGCCCCAGCTCTGTAGTGGAACTGTAGCAGCCTCAGCCTTCCTTATCTGTGGGGGATCAAACAGCCCACCACCAAACCTTCCTTCTACTCCTGATTGCATTGTCCCACACTCCAAATCCAGCAGAAACAAAGGCACAAGAACCAAACTGGGAAGAGAACTAGGGAAGTGGATTGCTGATATTCACCCCTTTATTTGTTCTAAATCTATCTTCCAAGTTCCGTGCCTTATCTGGAAGAAAATACAACACCTTCTGAAACCATTCCTTCCCTCCTGCACCAATCTAAAATGGATCACACAGATTTCCCAATCCAAATCTTTATCTCCTATCTCATTGCTTTGTTCCTACTTTTGTTCCTACCAAAGGGATCATTCTCTTTGAACACAGAGGCCATCCTGACCAGAGAAGCAAGGAGATTATTTGTACATTTTCACTTCTATGTCCAATCTCCCAATCTCATCCCCAGATCTTTATCAGACATTCTGTTGTTAACTCTCCTCACTCTTTGTCCATTTACATGTAGTGGATAAGAGCCATTAAGACAATGATAACAAAGCAATAAACTGTAGAATCAAAGGGGGGTGAAGATGATCTATCTTCTAAGGAAGGGAAATAGAATAAGCAAGTACAAATAGATGGACAACTGAATAGGAGGTCCAAGTGTGTAAGTGGAGTAGAGATGGGCTTCTAGTCAGGAATATGGGGAAAGATTGTTAAAATTACTTGTCATTTGAGGGGTACTATTGAAACCAAGTTCAGTAGGAACTTCCAGAAATATATATGAGGGATATCTGAAAAATATTGCCGAATAATGGGAGAGCCAAAGTCCCTACTGTCTCTCTCCTATAATCTAACACAGTTTTCAGTATGAAAACTAGATTACATACAATTGAGTGGTCAGCCAAGAAGTTCAAATATTATATCAAAACAAGCCAGGCTGTGGCCAGTTCTACACATTCCTCTCCATGAACTATAAGCATGGTTTAATTGCTGAAGACAATAGTTATAAAAATTATCAAAAATGGAGACCTAGGCCTAGTGACTACATAGAGCTTGCAATTCTTATTTTCTTTGGTACAAGAAAAAAATCTCAGCATTTTTAAACATAAACATGTATGCCAAATTGCTGCCCCCCAAAAAAACCTATATTTTCAATGTATTCTCCCCACAAGATAAGGTAGAACAAAGGTAAAACAAAGCTTGATGGAACAAGCAACCAATAACTAATTTGAGTTAAGGCCATTTCTCCAGATGGATATCATACCTGACATTTTCTAGGTGATCACAAATCTGATAATTGAAAACCCATGGAATTATGGTAAAACAAAATGCTAACTGTCTAAAAGAGAAAAAAATGTAGTGATAATATGACTCATCATGATATCCTGTAATACTCATAGATCAGCATGTTGTTCACATAACATCATGGAAGGTTTCTCCTAAAGAATATACAAAAATATATAGACATGCCAGGTGGTGGTGGTGCGTGCCTTTAATCACAGCACTTGGGAGGCAAAGGCAGGCAGATCTCTGTGAGTTTGAGGCCAGCCTGGTCTCCAAAGCGAGTTCTAAGAAAGGCGCAAAGCTACACAAAGAAACCCTGTCTCAAAAAACCTAGATAGATAGATAGATAGATAGATAGATAGATAGATAGATAGACAGACAGACAGACAGACAGACAGACAGACAGACAGACAGATAGATAGATAGATAGATAGATAGATAGATAGATAGATAGATAGACACACTGCCAGGCATTCTACAATGACACAGAGATCTTGAACACTCAGCTTTAAATGCGATCTTTCTCTCTAATACCTAATCTGCATAGCTCAGGTAAACTTGCCGAAGTGGAGGTAAAAAACTGTTTAAGAGCCACAGTGATAGAAGATACCATGAAAACAAGCCCTCTAAATTAACATGGAGGGATTTCATATGATCTCAGAGAGAATGAAGCAGTAAGCACAGGGACTGAACAGGTTTGTACAAGTTTTCTTTGTATAAATTGTGTCTGCCTGTTTAATGGTTTTATGGGATTCCTGAGCAGGAAAATGAGTTGATTTCTGATTATTATGCCTATCCTTTGACTCCATTTGTTCTGTTGTTTTATCTTGTAAAACTTCAATATGTTAGGTTTTGTTTTATTTTATTACAATTTATTTTATTACATCTAGAAAATTAAAGATTGATTTAAACCAAACCACTATTTTAAATGTGAACAAGTAAACTGACACTTAACCAGCTGAGATACAACATAACTTTTCTCCAAAAGAATGACACTCAGTCTATCAAACACTCCAGAACTGCTTTCATGTTCACAAGTATTTGACAAAAAATATAAAGGACCTCATATGTGTTTTTGTGTGTTCTTTTACTTGGTTAAACGATGGTGTTTTTTTCTTTGTTTGGCTGTGTAGGTTTTATTTTGTTTCCTCGGTTTGGGAGCCATTGTTGTTGAATTGGGATTTTGTTTGTTTTATTCAGAAAGCAATTTAAATTTCAGTTGGTTGGAAGAGGGAGAGTTTTTAGGAGGAAGTGGGAAAGAAGTATGTGATCAAACTAGAATTTAAAACTGTTTTAAAAATGAGACAAAAAAGAGAAATAAGCATAACTCAGAGAGCAGATAAAGTAAATAAAATCATCTGTAACTACTAAAACACAGAGTACAAATAAGAACGCAAATAAAAACAAATGAAAAAATTTAAGAGTAATATACATTTAAAAAGTTTATAGTACAAATACATTTCTAGAATAACTTGAAATAATAATGCCATCAATTCTCCAATCAAATGATGCATGTTACATGGAAGGATTAAAAAAATGAAACCAATCTTTCTATTACTTCCAAAAAACTCAGCTTTAAAGATAAGAACTGTCATAAAATGAAAGGATGAAACATTTTTTCTAATAAATGGGAAACAAGTAGGTGTTGTTACCCTATTACCTGATGAAATGGACTTTACAGGAAAAATTAAAAGAGAAATATAAAGAAGGAATTAACATCTCAGTTAATTCAATAATCAATCAAGATGATATTACTACCCAAAGTGTATATACAGTAAATTAATGTACAGACTGTTTCTAAAAATATATAATAATTAAAATATACACTGAGATTAGCAAAAAAGAGTAATATTACATGATTTCATCACAGCACTCTGTTATATATACAGGTGATAAGGACAAAAAAGTAAGTAGGGTAAATATAAAAATGAAAAGAAATTATACATCAAGTAGCCAGAAGGGTTATCTATATCCCATACAAGTATCAAGGAATATGAATTCTACTGCTCAATCAATGATAGACACTCTAAAACAGACATCATAATGGAACACAAGAAAAATCTCAGTCAATTAGAACAACATGAAATGTCTCTGTGTAACCTATTTGATCTCAAATCAATTAAAATTAACATTCCCTAATTCTTAAGGATTATAGCACAACACTAATACTGTTTTGGACTCTGAACAATTTCAGACCATGTAAATACTGATGGTTGCTTGCAGAATTTTATAAAGTCATCTTCGATGTATTGTGGAAATTCATGAAATCATGAAGAAGTCAGGAATTTTCTAAAGAGAAAAAAAACTTCCTTGGTCTATATTACCTCATTTACAGATTTATTTTAATAAGCAACCAAAATAATTTAATACCAACTCCATTGCTGACAAATACAGAAATGAAGATGGGTATAAATAGGCCCTCTTATTCATTTCCAAGCTTATACCAAATTTCTAAATTTCAAATCAACACTATTCATATGTGAACAGGCTAAGATCATCTTATACACGTCTTGGGAAGCACATTGAGGACATTATTTAACCTGAGACTTTTCAGGAATACTTTTTACTAACTAGCTGGCCTCAGCCACTGCTGGACTGAATTTGCCTTGATGTGAACCCATGGCCCATGTCAGTGCTTCATTCCAACTTACCAGGTTCTTCAAATCCAGTCTGCTCTATGGCCTCATTCCAGGAATGTTTGCTTTGGTCAAGGTTGCTGAAGAGCTCTTGTGTTGACACAGAATGTCCTGTGCATTAGAAGAGACATATGACACTGTCTTTGTATGATCCAATACAGTTGGAATCCTAACACAGAATTAAACTCAGAGTAAGAGGAAAATAATGGAAGACCCATATTTGACTTCCTCATTGTAAATGTCTTGTTAAAAATACTTCAAAATATTGAGTGATTTTTCAGTTTTCTCTCTCTGTATATTTATTTTAATTACAACAAAGCAGAAATACAAGCAGGGAACATCATGTTAAGATGGGTATACATTGCTTGCAGCAATGTATAATACAGGATTGTAAAAATTATATCATGTGCAAGAGAATGGATATAAAAACAAGAATGAGTTACATAAATGGGTGTTATATACCAAAATTCAACCATTTGAAAAAAGACATGTAAGACTCATTAACAAAAAATATGTGTGTCTTCTAATAACACTTGATAGAAATCTTAGGGATAAACTACTTATCAAATAAAAATACATAATCTTACCTGTAGAGACCAGGTTGGTGTAGTTCTTCAACTCGTCTTTGCCAGGCAAAGGCCTCTCAGCAGACTCTAGGCAACCCAATTCCTCCAGGATGAAGTCTATGGCCACATCCTTGACAATCAACAGGTTCAGAAAACAATACTGTTCTAACTTATGTCCATTTATGTAATGCATTAATGGCACAGAGAAAAATTAGTTAAATATAAAACATTCTTTTGTCAGTAATTGATACACATTATTTGAATAGATTGGTTATGAGAGGAAGGATGGTGTGAAAGAAGTGCTTGTGACATGATGGGTAGAGAGGTATAAATCAGCATTAAAGGAGAAATCCAGAATGGAATGCACTGCAATTTTAGCTTGTTGATTCTTAGGCAAGACCAGCATGAAGCTAAATGAAGGCAATTTTCATCCCTAAAACTCTGGCAGAGAAAGACACGAACATACACCAGATATACAAGTATGAAGAGGCCTTTATCTATTGTCTGAAAAGAAATATTGAAGAACAGTAGATTTCACAGCAAGAACAGGAACTTGATTTCTAACGCATTACGGAATTCCTATATGTACATTTCTCTAGTGATATCATAACAAGAAAGGGATCCCTCGCTTCCTTTTCCTTTCCAAGTTGAACTACAAAAACGATACAGTTCAGATTCAAAATCAAGGAAACTGGACTCATAAGGACTCACAGAGACTGAAGCACCAGAGAACTTACATGGGACTGACCTACGCTCTCTACACATATGTAACAGTTTTGTAGCTTTTTTTTTCTTGTGGGAATCTTAACAGTGGGAGCAGAAATTGTCTCTGAATCTGTTTCCTGCATTTCATATCATTTTCTAATACTGGGTTGCCTTGTTCAGCCTTATTAGGAGAGGAGTTTCCTACTCTTACAGTATCTTGGTATGTCATGGATAGCTAAAATACAAGTGGTGCCTCCAATTTTCTGAATCAAAAGGAGGAGTAATGGTGAAAGGCAGATGGATGGTTAGAGGAAGGGACAGGAAGGAGAGGAGCAAAGGAGGGGAAGCTCTAGTCAGGCTGGGAAAATTAATTAAAATAGCAAAAAAAATGTTTGGAATTGCTGCTATCCCGAGGCAAGGTTTAATGCAGAACACACACAGGACATAGGCATATGATTCCATCAGAGCAGATGGAGAAGTTGAAGTGTGACATGTAAGCCTGAAGCTAATTATTTCTAAAACTAGATCTTCCTATGAATGTATCACTGAATCAGCACATTGGAGCTAAAAGGAATTATTTATGCTCCACAGTCATATCCAAAATCAAATGAACATCTAACATTACTAAACCCTTTAGGAGACTACATACTGGTTTTATAAGGGAAAAAAATCTGGATTTTCTGATGTGAACTGCTATTGTCAACTGATTCTTGACCAGAAGCAATTTGGAGCATGGCACTTCACAGAGAGATAAGGATATTGAAACCAACCCTTTCATCAACAAATACTTAGTGATAGCACAATATATTTTAAGGTTTGTAATTCTTACATATCTTATGAGTGATTGGAGAGTAGGAGAGTTCAAAAACTATGTGGAAGGATAATGACTCTAGGTACAAATATAAATCTAGCACAACAGAAGTATTGTTTTTTATTAAGATTTTTTTCATTTTACATATCAATCAAAGATACAACCCTTCCATCTTCCTGTCTCTCCAGTCTCCCTCTCCCAATCCTAGAAATATTCTTAACTATATGTATGTACTTGAATAAAACCTAGTTTGAGTGGACATGACCTACATGAGTGGCACTGCCTTTTCTTTGTGGATAGACTTTCACAATGTATCAAATGAAAGGACAAGTTAAAGGCATGGCTTATTTCCTTTTGAGTGGGTTGTGTTCTCACTGAATGACCCCCTTAAGCTCATTTATTTGAATGCTTTTCTCTTAGGAGGTAGATCTCCTCAGTAAAGATTAGAAGATATGCCTTCATAAAGGATGTTTCTCATCTTGAATGGGCTTTTATCAAAGGCACATTGCAGGCATGAGTAAGCTATACACATGTAAAGGCATAGAATTTAGGCCTGCTTCAACATCTCTGCCTTTAACAGCTAAAGTGCAGATACAGAATGTTGGAACTTTACTCCTGTGTCACAAGGGAGTAAAGATGATTCCTGAAGAGAAACTCCAGTTTCTCCATTAATCCTGATTAAATTTGTGTATTCCTCTGCAAATTTCCTCAAAACTGTTACTACTGCTAAAGAGAAAATTGTGAACTCTAAGTGATGAAGGCAAGTGTGACACTCCTCAGCCAGGGCAAGAAAATCAGCTTCAGCCCCCATGGGAGAGATTGGTAGTAGGTGTCAGCACAACTGAAGGGCATTGCAGGTTCACTAGGATGTTTGTAGCTAACAAAGAGAAACAACTGAATAGACTCTTTAAATCTAGTTTTAAAAAAAAACAGAAGAAGAAAACACTCCTATTAGGATAATTTCACACTGCATTATGCCTGATGAATTGCATTTGGAAGTTTTATCACATTTAAATACTTCATTGTAGTATATGACACAGTATATCTTTTATAGAAATTTTATTTTAAACATTATTTTTGGCAATGCAGACATTATATCCTGGTTTGTGTGTGTGTGTGTGTGTGTGTGTGTGTGTGTGTGTGTGTGTGTGTGTGTGTGTGCCTCTTTCTTTGACTTTTATGTAATGAACACTTGATTGCTGTGAGGAAGGATCATGGAACATAAGTCTTTTCTCACTGAGTAATATGACTCAATTACATTCTAAGTAGGAAGTGAGAGTACGTGTTTGTGTGCAATATCTAAAAAAGTCTACATCATGCATTAATTGAGAAAATTTATCCAAAAAAACTAAAATAATGGGAGAGCTGTGAAAAGTGGGTAAACCCACATCTTTCACATGCATTTAAACTGTTTACCTTCAAAACCACTTGAGGAAAAGTAAAAGAAAGCCTTGTCAAACCTAGGGGGTAAATTAAACATTAGGGGCTACTGCAAATGAAGCATTTCTGTAACAACAGTCAGCATAACTCTTCTACATTTATACTTACCTGAGAATATGTCATCTCTCTTTTCCCTTCCATGTGGATCCTCTCAGGAAACTTTATTTTAAAATTTTACTTTCTGATAATATTTCAGATTTCAAAACCCCAACAGCACCCTATGCTTGCTACCACAGACACTGGAAGACAAGGATCACAATACTCATTCCCTATTCTATAGCAGAGACAAGACACAGAGTGCTACTGGCTCTCAGAGGCAGACCAAACTGACAGTTCTCCTTTCATGCATTCAGACCAGCATCATGAAGGGCTTCAGTATAGAGGTGGGAATGTGATTAAATTAACCTGATACACCCAGCAGAGTCAGCTAGGCATTTCAAATGGAGGCTGAGCACAGGTGCTATTCAGAAGCGTTAAGGACCCTTAAGGACCCACACATTCTCTTTCTCTCTAAAGGCTGATTAAAATAACGTTGATGCTCCCATTGAGAATGGCAAAAAAAAATATGTGGAGTAGATGCAAATGAAAGTGTTTCAACAGACAGAAAAACCTAAGTGTTTGTGGCCAAGAAGCATGAGGGCAATCCATGCCTCTCTAAGGTCTTCAATGATTTTTCCCATTGTCTGCCATGACCTTGTTTATTATAATTACTTTTGTAATATAATTAACATTATTTTTCATTTTAGTTTTTGAAAACAGGGATTTTCTGTACCATCACCTTGGCTGTCCTGAAACTCAATGTTTACAACATAGTGGCTGCAAAACTCATAGAGAATGGCTTGCCCCTGCCTCTCCAGTGGTGGGATTAAATGTGTGAAGTGGCTGATAATGTCATAAGAAAAATACATGAACAGAAAAATGCACACACAAAATAGCTGGAATTAGGTGGACCTTTCCCTCTGATGGAAACAACATCACCAGGATTCTTTGCCTATTTGTTACGAAGAGATGAACAATGTTTTAGGGATAATACCTACAGGTAGAGGGGTCATTCTATCCAACTGAATAGGGGGAAATTTGGATTATATCAGGAGGGACAGTCTCTGTAGGGGAGCACTTCTGAGGCTTAAACCACTATTGGAGAAGGCTAGGGTGAAATATTTTCTGAACACTATCAATATCCACATGCAGCACAGGAGGCTTTCTCATTCTGCTGAGCCTGAAGTGGTTTGTTTTACAAATTTCTCATGGGCCTGACTGTGTGCTCTCTGACATGAATATTTCCTTGTACACAAAAGAAACTCATTCATTCCTCCACAAATTCCAATGTTCTTCTGCTCTCCAGATACAATTTACTGATTTCTATGTTCAAATTTATGTCGAACAATGTACTAAGAAATAAACACATGTTAGTTTGTATTAGGATCCATGGATCAGATGATATTAATTACATCTTTTACCACAAAATGATTATTTATCATGCCAAGGCAGCTGGTACTGAACACAAAGCATTAATACATTTATTGGGAATTTAGACAAGAGAATAATTTAATGTTAAAACTTTTTATAATATATACTTAGTTAAAATTGCAAATACTATGAACAAAATAATCTTCATGTAGAATATAACACAAACACAAATATCCTAGCTTATTGATGTTTATAAGTAGTACTACCTGGCTTTAACTCGTTATATTTTAAATCATTTTGCTTTAGTCAATTTTCACATGAATTTGTACCATTTAAAAAAAATAATTTCTAAATCATTCTGTACAAAATTTTATTTTCTCTGTAGCTTATTTACCAAGAAGCTGCTTGGTGAATATAAGTTGTATTTCTTGGTAAAAATGTTTCTAAATTTCAGTTATACATAGGTCTTCTTGTTTTATTTTCTCTGACATTGAGTAAGACATGAACATTGTTTAATATACTCTAGTCAAGTGTTTCTGTTTTAATGAATATTTTCTATGTATAAAGAGTAGGACAATGATTATCTATCAAATATTGTACCAACATAAATCTTAAGTAATATAAGCTCTGAGCTCAAGGCATTTGACTTGCAACATTCTTTATATCTATATTTTTCCTCTTTAGTATAAATTCTGTGTTGATCAGACAGAGTTGATAAGTAGGTAAATGATTTCTTATATTGTACACATATAGAGTTTTTCTCCTCAATGAATTCTGTGGTGGGTTTGAAGATGTGAGCACTATATAATGTAATTAACACATTCTTATCACTTATAAGTTTTCTCTCCAGGATTGAT